TAATATTTAAATTAGGATTCAAATCTTATCAATAAACTTAATACTTCTTTGCCACTGGCCTAACAAATGGGGGCTTAGAGGTTTATTTGCCCATCCATAATACTAAGATATTGGTAAACCTGCTGTTCAACAACTTCACAGCAGATATTTCTGATGGTATTAATGCAATGCAAGAAGCTTGCACTAGGAAACTTTTCTCTCCTGTTGCTTGTGGAAATACTTTTAGAAAGCTCAGGAAATACTAAGCAATAATGAAATATATCTACTGCATTTCAAAACTTTGAAATAAGTTTTAGATGGGAAAGCGATTTTTCCCAGTTGATTTAACAATCAAACTGTAGTTTATACCCTCTGAGCATTTTCAAGACTACTGCTTTTTTTTTAATTATGTTTTTCAATGCAATTTATTAGTTTCTTTCCAAAAAATACCAATATTTTCAAGCAAAGAAGAAATCACATCCAATTCATCCTTGTGATGATTTGGACTTCCACCTCTGTTGCATCCTGTGGAGATTTCTGCTTGGGTGGAGTAAAACAGATAAAGAATAATCAACTGGTGGGAAAAGCTACATTCTTCAGTACTGAAATAGCGTGGGACTTACGTGCACCCTTTAAATAAAGCATAGCCTGAGGAGTCCAGTTTCTTCTTTGGAAGTGACCCTTTGCACCAAAGAAGAGAAAAGTGGTATTTTAGCACAGTGCTACTACGATGACAATCACTGTACTACTGCCACACCTACCCATGAAGTTTATTAATACTTGTACACTCATTCTGACAAGACCGCTTACCTGAGGAGCACTCCAGGAATATGAGATGAGAGACGCTGCAAGGAACAGGGCCATTGCAGAAGCTGTCAGTCTACGCAGTCCCTGCACATGACAAGCAACCAGAAGGACATGGGGAAAATGTCTTTTAGATCCCCAGGCAACCTCTCCCTTCAGCTTCACCTCCTGATGTTGAGATGTTTTCCAGACTCCCTTGCTCCCAAAGCCTCTCTCTTGCAGTACTACCTCACCTCAATAAATTCACATTGAATTTAAGGAGCAAGTGTGAATATTCATATCACACTGACAGAAGAACTTTGTATGCTAATGTTTACAATCATGTAAAACTTTGTGGTGATGAGCATGGTGAATCCAGAGATGAGAGAGATTACACAGTCTAAATCTCATAAAATATGCAACCATAGGAGACTTAGTATTTTGAAGCAGATCACTGCTCTCTGTAAGTAAAAGTTGTTTACCTTAGTATAGAATTTGTCTTATTGAAGCTATTGACTGATCCCACATATATTATTAAGAGATGTTTAAATCTAAGAGGACTACACATTGACAAAGGACTTGCAAATGAATATACTGATCACAAGTCCTGAGTAGACTAAATTACCTCTCTACTTTGTAACTCAATGTAAGCCTAGTTTTTCATGCATCAATTCATGTGACAAGTAAACAATAACATAGTTATTAGGACTCTCAGAAGTTAATTCCATTTCCTATGTTAGAGAAGAAATTGTGCTAGCAATGGCACATTTAATCTGTTGTTTTATAGTATACCAAAAACAGCTGTAATATTTCTCTCACATATAAAAGAAAGTTAGAAAATTATAAACCAAGCAATTTAGCTTCTAAAACAATATACTCAGTTGAAAATACAGGAGAAAGTATTTACTGAAATGATTCCACATATCAAAAGAGTCTCACTTACCTTCATACTCAGTTGCCCTGCAAATCAGTAGTCTCAGAAAGGTTTAGCTAAGATTGTGTGATAAAAGATCTGGATGTGATTTGGGGTTCCCTTTTTAAGTCTTTTGCCTGGAGATCTCCTCCCCCTTTGTGGCAGAGTGGAGGAGTCTAAAGAGACCTCTTGTCAGTGCTGGAGATGGAGAAGTAGAAGGTCTGATGACTCCTTAGGGGGACTTGTAGACTTGTAGAAAGTCAGGGAAATGATTGAAGGACAGACACCATGGACTTGGAAATTCACCCCATTAGCCGGGTGACTTTCTGAATACATCAGCATCAATGTCGAGATTTCTTCTACCAGTTTCCCAATAAAATGTCACCATCTCACCAGTGATCAATAAGCACCACCAGCAGTAGGTATTAATAAGGACAAGGAGCTCTTACCTTGGGTAACTTATTGTATATGAGGTTGTCATCAGCTGTGACAGCTATAAAGTAACCCTGAAGAAAAGCTAGCAAATTATTCTCAAGAGTCATATGTCAACATAGGAGACAAGAGAGACTGAAGAAAGTGGGGTATTCTGCATAGCCAGTTTGAAGTTACTCCTGGCAAACAACTTAGCATCAAATCTCCTGTTCATTTTCCTGACTCACTCAAGCCTATTGTTTCTTATACCCAAGCAAAATGAAAGGGTAAACAGAATTTCAAAAAAACATAAACCACTTTGCTATCTTGAGAGCAAAGAGAACTTTGAGTAGCTAGAGAAAAAGTGTGACTCATGAAACAGACCTTTTGGAGTAGGCCAAGCAACAGAGCAACCCACAACACAGGGAACAAGGAGACACAGAGAATTAAGGATCATACAAAGTCCCTTTTATAAATTGTTTATAACAGAATACTAGATGTTATGAGTATGTCATAGACATGAGTAGCAACTGTAACAAATGATTATAAACATATTAAAAAATACTATCTGATTTTATAAGGCATGGCTACAGGCAATTTATTGGCATACTGGGATCTATAGGATCTCTGAATCCCTAATTCAGAGATGAACTGAGACTAGAAATATGTCACCAAATTAAATGGATCAGCTGTACTGGGAGGTGCCCCAGAACAGCTGATCTGCTTCATTGGGCAAAACACGTTACCCGTTGTCTCTGCCTGTTGATGCTGTGGGACAATGGGCACCATGTTCTTTTGGGGCTTGAGGGGCCTGATTCTAATCACCCTGGGAACCCCTAGGCAGCATGGGGCCCCTCAAGACCTGGGAAAGCCTGCCGCTCTTGCTCCACTTACTGAGACAAGCCCCAGAGATCCCCTGGTAAGGAGGAAAAGCCAAGCAGGAACACGCAGGGCTTGAGGGGCTCAGTCCTACACAAGATTTCCCAGGGTGTACATGACTGGTCCCAAGCCCCCAGAGGAGGCAGGTGGCAGGGTTGATGCTCTGGGAGCCAGTGGTGTGGCTGGTCCTGTCAGCTTACATTGATGATGTACTCCTCACGGTCTAGGACTCAGGTGACCTGGCGCAGGTGGAAGCCCTCCAGGCATTGTACTCAGCGGCCTTCTCTGCCTGGGTTAACTGGATCAGGAGCTTTGGCCTGACGGTGGGCTCACTCCCACCCATTCTCCACGGGATCAGCTGGAGCATGGGCTCGCTGCTCTACTTGGGGGTCTGCCTGTCCCCCACAGACCCTTCCCCACCGGAGAAGTGGCACCAGCTGGAGGCAACGGTGGTGGAGTGACTCCGGGCATGGGCAGGGCTGCTGAGGTGTCTCTCCCTGTGTGGGAGAGTGCTGGTGTTGAACCAGCTGGTCCTGTCCATGTTCTGGCACCACTTACACACCCTGCCTGTGCCCCCTGAGGTCCTGGCAGGGCTACAGAGACAGACGCTGGAGTTTTTCTGGCCAGGACAGCACTGGGTCACTG